AATAATATCTAATTAAACTCTATTAGCTTCAAATAAATATTTAAAAGTCTAAATTAAAAGGATAAAAATATATAAAATTGTCATTTATCACGCACTCACTCCCTTATATTTTTTTGATCTTCCACTAATCTAAATGAAATTTCTCCTTTGACTAAAAAAAATAAAATTGTTCTAGTCCAAAATATGGAAGTAAAGACTTGGACAATTATTATTTCTACAAGCTAAAAAAGTAGGTGTCATTCTAGAAGGGCTTACTAAATTGAGGATTTGAGATGCGACGACAAAGACTAAAGGTGGTTGCCATGAGTGGAAGATGATGTACAGCACAACAACCTGACAAAGAGGGAGGACAGTGTTGTCAGCACAGCATCATCGACAAGGGGGAAGGACAGTGTGGCTGGCACAACGTCATCAACAAAGGTGGAAGATGGTGTCGTCAGCAAGGGTGGAGGATGGCATTGTTGGCAGAATTAGAGATAAGGGAGGGGAAGAGTAAGGGGCAATTTGGTTTAGAAAATTTCAATCCTGGAATTGATTTTCCAATATTAAAGGGGAGGTAGTGTAACATCTTGAGTTTTAATTCCCTGATTAATTAAACCTAATTAGGATAATTAAGTAAATTGAAGTGGTGTGTGGCCAGAGAGGTCTAATAATCATGTTTTATGCTATTTCAGCTCTAGTTATGGGTTCGGTGTCAAGGTGGATCACCCAGGCATCGAAAGGAGAAGCAAAGGAAGAATTAAAGTTGCTGTGCCATATGCCGCGGCACATAGATCGTCTATCGCAGCGCATAGCTATCTCTGAGTGAGGGAGGACCTCTTTATGCCATGTATCGCAGCACATTGTGTGTCTGTCATGGCGTAAGGCCATTTTTTGTACTTTATCAGATACAAAATGAGACCAAAAAAAGAAAGAAAAGAAAGGAGAGAAAGAAGAGGCACGCCAAAGCTTTGTTAGGGCTTGCTTGGGGATCACTTTAAGAGTATTTTGAAGGCTACAAACACCCAAGGTAAGTATCATACTTATTAATCTTCCCTTTTCTTCCACATTTATGAGTTTATGGTTAGGGTTTAATAGTTAAAGTAGAATTTCGGTCCATATAGGTTATAGGTCTAAATTTACTGACTCAAATAGAGTTAATAGGGTAGATTAAAGTATTTAAACCTAGGTATGATGAGTTTTGGTGTCTTGGGCTGTTGAGTGCCATAAATACTCAAAAAATCCCATTTATTATGATGGTTAGAAGTTTGTGATGCCATTAATGAGAATTTAATAGCTCATTAATGCTATTGGGAGCTAAAGGTAATTATTAAACCCAATGGTTAGGCTCCACCTCTTGTAAGGTGAAGGTTGGGCAATTTAGAAGTAGAGATTGAGAGTTCAATTGTTGAGTTTGTTTTGTTGATGAAATTCAGATTGGTTGTTCGTAGCTTTGGCTCTTGGTCACTTATTAGAGTAGAAATTCAAACTTGGAAGCTAATTGATTGAGGGGTAAACCTTTGACCTCTCAAAAGTTTGAGGTAATCAGGGAAAAACTCTACTTTATGTATTTGTATGTTAATTAATGGTTAATTGGCTATTGAATGTGAGATTATGAATGTTACATGCATGGATTGGGTGTTTAAGTAAGAACTATATATTAGCTTCTTTGAGTGTATGAAAAAGCTATTTTTAGGCTTGAAAATGCAACTACAAAGTTAAGAGGATTGTATTATGAATATGCCTATATTTTTAAGAAATGAATATGATGATATGTAGAAATAATTTTATGTTAATAAAAAATGAATCTTGAGAAAAAGATGAGAATACATACTTGGGTAGCGCAAGATCGTAAACCCAACGTGATTGTTGTAATAGAGAGTATATGAAAGCAAAAAAAGTAAACTCAAGTGAGTAATGATTATGGCATAATCAATGATGGGAGTTCGCCTAGGAATTTGTGAGTAGAGAAAATTCATATGGTAATTAGGCTGTTCTTTGGTGCACGTGAGCTATAACCTTGTCCTATTATTTGTCAAGGAACTGTCCCATAGTTTGTTGAGGGACTAAAATCTAGCTATCTCCACTGGTTTAATGAGGAGAATAACCTAGGGTATGAGACACCCCAGAGATTCAAGAATGGGGAAAGCTGTAGTCTGAGAGTGAGTCTTGTGATCTTTGGCCGAGTCACACCTCACAGTTGGTGAGTTTGGGTAGTCCAGTCACACAGACGGAGCCCTAATCAGTGTTATAGTCCATGGTTTCAATATGAGAAAATAAAGAGGATATAAGGTTGGTTGATCATTATCTAAGTAAATATATGACGTGTTACACATGCTAAGTGGTGGTAGGTTACCAGAGTATAGGTCTTGTCACATATTTGAGAATATAGTGACAATGCACCTAGTGATGTGAGTAAATAAGCTATAGAGTGTTAAATAATAAAATGTGATATATGGGGAAATGTTTTATAAATTTGAACTTGTTGTGCATGTAATTATTTTATAATTGATATATAACTATATAGGGTAGGTTTAACCTTGGTTACTGAGTGGCTAGACACACCCCTCTTATTTAATACTTTTCAGGCTCTAGCTTTGGTGTTGAGAGGGAGAAAACTAAAGAGGTGGGAAATTAGTACATTCCTTCTTGTATGCCTCTAGTTTTGATGTAGCTGTGTAATAGTATATATTTGCCAATTCTAAGATGCATATTACCCATACTTGCACTATTTTGGTTTGAAAATGTTAAAATTGTATTTTGGGCCCTTAGCCTTTGTGTAAGTTATCATATTTATGTTTATAGGGTGAAAATATTAGTGCAAGTGTAGAAATGAACATTTGAGCATGTTTTAAATGATTTGAGTTAAATGCAATGCTAATTTACCTCCCCCTTTGTTTTTATTAAATTGGGATTGAGGAGTGAATTTTTGTTATAATGATATTTTGATGCTTGTGATGTGTTGTACTGATAGTCTTAGATTTATTGGACATGGTCCAGGTATTAGGAAAAGACTTTTGACACTTGTTGAGGGTTTTAAACACCCACTTTATGTGAAAGTGTTAAAAAGTTGTTTAAATGTGTTTAGGTGTCCAACTTTCTAATGTGACTTGTTTTGAAAGCAAAACCCATGCTATTAGCTAGTATAGGAATAGAGCTTTTCGTAAACACCTAGATCATGTCATTCGAACGTCAGACGAAGAATCGAGGCGAGTCAAAAGTTTCCCAATTTTGACAGTAGAACCAGTGCAAAATTCGTGCAACATGCCACGACGCATGGCGCTTGAGCCCAGCGCGTGGCACAGGGAGTAACACGCCACGATGCATTGCTCTGTATTTCAATACATAATTTATTTTCAACTATTTTTGACTTCTTTCACTCCTCTAAGGTATCTCATGCTTTCAAAATTTATTTTTACTCTGATATAAAAGGTTTTGATCGATCTTAACTTGTTCCTATTTAGAAAACTTGGGATCCTTTTCTTTTGAATTAAACCTTGGTAATCACTCTTCGGAGCTTATCCCTCAATTACCATGAGTTTTATTTATTAAGTATGTTTAGTGGAGTGAGACGTTACAGGTGGTATTGGGTAGTCCCACCTAGATAGGATTCGACTTGGCATTAAATTTTTCATTCTTAGCTACCAAACATAAAAAACTTGGCATTATGTAATACCATTACCAGTCCTACTTTGTCATTCCTTCATACCAAACAGGCCCTAAATTCCCAAATATATCCCAACTATGCAATCTCCTACCTATTTGGCTCTACAACATTCTTAATAAAACAACAAATCTCACTATAAAGACTTTAAATCCTTAATTAAAGAATTAGGATGTTACAGTACGTGTCATGTACTTCGTGATATGCATCATATATTATACCACTTGTATTATTATATATTTTTGTCAAGATATTTCTTTTTTTATATACTATTACTTCCATCCTAATGTATAAGACATTTTTAGACAAAATCATGTATATAAATAAAACTTATTAAATATATTTTACAATCTTAATTTTCAAAGGAAAAATAGAAATTTTTATAAATACCCTTAATTTAATAATCTATTTGTGAAAAATGTTAGAGAGAGAGGGAGAGAATATATGATAGTAATAGTAATATTCAAAAAATATCATTAATAAAATCTTATTTTTATCAAGGTATTTTATATTTTGAAATGTTCAATCTCTCCAAAAGTGCCTTATAAATTGGGACAATGGAGCATTTACTTTAATATAATTATAATTTGGATTTTCTATTTTTGATGGATTGACCAAGTTCCTACTTAATTAACTTGATCCTGTTTGGGTAACCGGACATTAAACCATATCTTGGATGTGTTGCCAAATTTAATAAATAGTTGAATCTTCCAAATGAATTTTTGCCATATGTAAATTGAAAACCAAACACATACTAGTGAATTCCATAAACGTAAGTCATTTAACTAACAATCAATGCATGTTATTAGCTTGTTGGAACTCAGAAACTCATGTAGTTTATATAATTCCTCTCTTAAAAAAAATATAAGACATGTTTTTATTAGATATGTTAAAAAATATAAGGCATTTTTAATTTCTTAATATGTAATTAATGAGTTTTTTTTTTAAAATATCCTTAATAAATAAATCACTCAACTCCTTTACCTTTAAATGAAATACCTTATTAAATAGGATAAACATGAAAAGATAAAGTTTGGTCCAAAGATAATTAACTAATTTATTGAAGATATACTTTAATTAAAAATATCTTATATTTTTTTAAACAGGAAAGAGCATAAGATTAATTTCATGAGAAGGCTTTAATTAACAAGAAGATGTAATAAACACTAATCAAAAGAATCTCTAAGGGCATTAAATTTTGACAATATAATTGATATTAAATCTCTAAAGTAGAAGGCTAAAAATTTAATTATTTAATATAAAAATAATTATTTTATATTAGTCAATATATAGTTAAGATTTTTTAATTATTAAATTTATTTAAACACTGAATACAAGGCTCCTTTGATATTTTCATTACGAGAGAAAAAGCTGAACGTTCGATCCCCTCTATATGCATATGCATCATCACCTGGGAACAAAAGCTGATAGACTCAGATTAATATCACCGCCACCCTTGTTCGCTGAGCTTGAAGAAGCTTCTCCTGCAGAAAATACGCCACCCAACGTTAAACTCAGATCATCATCATCCTCCATAGCCTTCCCTGCTAAAAGCTCCTCTTTACGATTGCGTACTCTGACTCTCAGATCTTCCAGCGACGTCTTCATTTTCATCAGCTCCTCTCTGTTCATCTTTTCGATATCTGGAAGATTCATCATTCTCTTCTTCAGCTCCTTCCCTCGTTTCTTCTCTTCCTTCAACTGTGCATTCAGATCGCAGCAGTGCTTGTTCAGTTCAGCCAACCTAGCTTCTCGTTCGGCCCTTTCTTCATGATCGATCTTTGGATCTGCAGAACCGGTGACGAGTCTGTTGATTACTGCTTCCGACGAAGGATGGCTGAAGGAGTAGGGTTTACCGCCTGGCGAGAAGATGATGAGAACCATCTCCACGGCGCACAAGGTACAGAGCTCGCTGGCTTTCTTGAAGATTCCGAATCGACGCTTGGAGAAGGTGACGTGCTTGATTCTTGCGTCTTGGATCAGTGTCTTGTTCTTCTTGCTTGGTCTTCTCGCCATTGTTGGTTATTGCAGATGGTGCGGAATAACTGTAGAAATTCAAGTGATGATCAGATCATGAACTGAGTTGATGGTATTGATGATGAAGAGAGAGAGAGAGAGAGTTGTACGTGAATTTATAGCTGCTTCATCAATTAGAGAGTTTGATTCTGACTTTGAAATATGCTTATGTCATCGTCTCATTGGCTCACTTCAGTTTCTTTCCATATTTCACGTTTAAAAATTAAAAGGTATGTTTGGTTGCTAGAAAATTAAATAAGAATGTATAAACATTAAAAAATAAAGATAAAAATAAAATAATTAAAATATGAAGATTAGATAGGTTAATCATATTCATGAAAGAGTAAGAGTAATTTAGTTCTTTCATAATATTAAAAATCATGATTTTTGAGGTTTGTGGAGTATGTAATGATTCTCATTTAATTTATTTGTGGTATGAGCCATGTGTTATTTGATTTTATCATATTTATTATGAGTGAAGGATAATTTAGTTTATTTTTATTTTGATTTTTTCAATCTATTTCATTGATGTCTTACCTAGCAACCAAAGGGGCTTTATACTCCCTCCATCCCAATTGTAAGACATTTTTGAAAGAGATTAATTTGGAATCCTGAAGTATACTCCCTCCGTTTAAAAATATAAGATATTTTTTGAGGAGTTATATGTTAAAAAATGTAAGGCATTTTAGTCTTTCAAGATATAATCATTGTCTTTTTTTAAAAAAAGTGCCTCTATTGATAGTGACTTTATATTTATTATAAGATATTTAATAAAAGTTAATATAAAAAGATAGGGTTAATTTGAAAGTAAGTAACTACTTTATTGAGGGTAAGATTCGGTTACAAATGCCTTATATTTTTGAACATAGAGAGTAAAATATTTTGATAAAAATAAAGTTTCATTAATGATTTTTTTTTTCAATATTACCCTTTCTATTATATTCTTTTTATCCTTTTACTATTCTTTCATAAATAGAGTATATATTAAATAAAGAGCATTTTTAAAATTTTATATTTTTATTTTAAAAAATAAAACCGTAATTGTATTTAATGAATTTTATTAGTATATGTAATTTTATTTAAAAAACTATTTTATAATTTGGAAGTGGGGGAGTATAATTTTTCATGAGGTCAAACATCGCGAGAAATTCTCTTAAGATTCCTCGCATAAATAGTTTCTAAAGAACATTCTAAACATTTATTGTGAAAATGAACGCATGATAACCAATAAGTACAAGATTTGATGAATTTGAGTGTGTACTGATGTCAAAAAAAGAATACCTTTAGTAGGCTACTCTTCAATTAGACTTGTCGATGGCCGAAAATGATATACTGTCACAGGTATAAACTATATTAAAAAAAAAACGTGTTGAGCACTTTATTTTTATTTAAAAATTAAGTATTTTCATCAAGTGTTCATTTAATTTAAAATTTCTTAAGATGTATTCTCTCTATTCCTATATATAAAGTGTTTTTAACCCAAATTTCACATACCAATAAAAATTTATTATTTAGTTGAACTCACATAAAAATACAATAATTTTCTAATTTTACCCCTAATAATAGAATAATTAATATCATAATGGTGATAGAAAAAATATATAATTAATAATTTATTTTATTTTTCAAGAACAAGGTAAAATTATTTAATTATTTAAAAATATTATTGTTATTCTTTATATTTATAAACAAAATAAACTTTTAGAAAATATTTTATATGACGGAGGGAGTAAATGATAATCGAAACGTATGCCACCTCTATGAATGTTAATAGTCACTTAATCGGGCAGATTCTTTCTCTTCTATGTAGACAATGACAAGTAGAGATTGAGCACATCTAGTGGGGAGGGAAATAAATGCGTGAATTTTTTAGTCTCTTTTGCCCTATCCATAAATTGGGGTGTACATGACCTACATCATCCACCAGACGATTTGAGAAAGTTTTTGCTCGATGATACTACATATGTTAGACAGATTTGTATTAAATTTGTGACATTAAATCCTAGTTGGGTCTTTCCTTTTCTGAATGAAAACAATAATAAACGAGACATGAATATGAGTTAAAACTGAATCCAATATATTAAATGTATGTTTTTCATCTTTAATTGATTTGAAAATAAATTCGGTCCAGATTATCTGCATCTTGGAAAGACAATCACGTGATATGTATCTGGTTTCGGTTCTTTGTTGTTTTTGAAACAACAATACCATTGTGATTGTTTCAAGAACACCTCTGAACCATTCAAATTTGATATGAAAAGTCCAAAAACTTTTTATATATTATATTTACTATTTTTTAGTTTAAATTTTTAAATATACAAAGTAAAAATAATAACTTAACTGTTAGTTTTTTTAAAGAAACTATTAAAAAGGAAAATTATATATATATATACATATATATGCACACACTCCCTCCCATCTAAAATATAAGCTGTTTTTCTCAGATAATTTTGGTGAATATAAGCAACTTAGTATTTGTTCCCTATTCTTTTGTTTTATTTATAAATTACTTCCAGCATATTTATCTAAAATTAAAAAAAATCTTAAATTTTATTAACCCTACTTAAAAATTTAGCCTATTTTTAATTTTATCCATATTAAATATAAATAATTTAAAAAATAAAAATTCCAACATTTAATAACCTTCACAGTATTTAATATAGGTAAAGGGTGAAGATGAACACAATTAATAATCCTTAAGATGCTCTATAAATAGAACTAAAATAAATATTCTCTCACTTTATCTTATAAATAAGACAAGCAGAGTATATATGTTCATAACAATAAGTATTTTATTGACATGCAGATTATTGTTGATAAAGCTACTTATATTTTGGATTAGAGGGAGAATAAAATACAAACTTTACTAAATTTACCCCTTGTTTAATTTTATTGAAGTATGTGCATTATGACAATATTGTTAACTGAATTAAATAAATTAGTTAGATTGTTGAGTGAAATGAGTGTAAAATAGAAAAAGTACGATGTATTAACTTTTTTTGAATTTTTTTAAAATATTTATAATATGCAACAATTTTTTCTCTTTATTTATAAAGATTAAAGACCAATAATTAAATAGAAGAAGTATTATTTACAAATTATTTTCACCATGGTGCATTTATGTGATCACTCAAGCCATGGCTTTGTAGGACATATGATTAGTTCTTACGAATTAAATCAAATTTATTTCAGGAATGAAGAAGCCTTAGCCTAGTGAACTTATCTTCCATATTGTGGGAACGATATCAAAATACTTTTAAATGGAAATAGTCTTCACCAAATGTTTGTAGATAATATAGTTCTAAACATCACACTTTTAGGAGAACTTTAGAGTGTCTCAAATCTCAATCTTATATCTATCTATTGGTAACTAATTAATTTTCCACATACAGCATTTATAGATGGAGCATATATTCGGAGTTTAATATTGTAGAAGCTGTGAAGTTGGCTATGGAGGAAAATGGGATTTGATCATGCAAAACCATTATTTGTTGTGTCGAAACCGAACATGTGGAAATCAAGATTGGTGACATATATGAGAGATGGGTTCGTCTCATAAAGTGTTTTTCTTTTTGCCTTCAAATTGTTTCCAAATTAATTGTATGTGGATTTCTGACAAGAAGATCAATATGGTGATGATTAATTTTCTTGTCACCAAATCGGTTATCGATCCAAATGATTTTGGATTTTAGCCGGGAAAAGAGCAATAACTCCCTATATGTATGTGTCTGATAATACAAACTACCAAAAATTGATGAAAATTTCAAGTGCTTGGTCGCTAGATTTATGGACGCAGATAATTGTAAGATGAGCCCATTTAATTTTTGGTGCTACAGTACAGGACTTTAAATCAGTAGTTTAATTCAATTATCAATAAATTTTATAATAATTAATTTTTTTTTTGTATGTGATCTAGTTGTAATTTTCCCCTTAAAGAACTCCATGCATGTAGTTGCATAAATTGAGCTGTATAAATTAAGCTTTTTCTTATAGTAGTGTGGTGGAGGTTGAGTACTTGTTTTTGTGTATGTATAGCAACTTAATTGAAAATGTCTATAATTTATTCTCATTATTTAAATGAAATAATAATATCTACTATGCAATGCTTACTCTTTATACTCACAAAAAAAAAATGAAAGCTTTTAATCAATTTTTTGAATTTAGCTTTTACTTGAGAAGAATTCTATGCATTTATGGTCAAATACTAACCGTTATGTATGTATAGCAATTTAGTTAAAATTACCTTCAATATTCTCCAGAGATAATATCTATTATCAGGGCTCTTTGCACTCAAATAAAAAAAGTTTTTAAACCATTTCATGAATTCTGGTTTAATTTTACTTGAGAAGAATCGTATCTATTTATTATTACAAGTTATTTTTAATTAATTCACACAAACTTGTATAATTAGTTGATGCTCCTAAAATATTTCGATCTTTCTATATATACCATTTATGAGTCGGTCACCTTATTATGTCACGATGGCACTAAGCATTTATATTCTCTCTTAAGCGTTACAAGTTTGACCCTCTGAATAATCCATTATGTGTGTGAGTTCCTTTTGCTTAATTTCATTGGACTCTCTTGATGAAAAATAAACCAAATTAATGGGAATCAAGTAATGTTTTTATTTATCATGTACATGTTTAAAATAAGCACATTAATTTATACTTGTGCAACAGAAAGCAAAAAGGGGCAGGGACCTCATCAAAAAATAAATAAATAAAGAGGCTGGTATGGAACCTGGTCAAGTGTCAACTACACGTGGCGGAATCTCTTTGGAGGATTGTTGATAATCCACTGACGCCCCACCTTGAGACGCTATGAACTCCACAACACTGGAACAAAGCTCTTCTAATCCAACCCGCGCGGTGGTATCCACCACCATCTTCGGCACATCACTAACATCGTACTCCGTGCACCCACCGTACCCTTCCAGAAGCTTCTCCAAGTCCCGCCACGTGACCGGCTTGTGGGAACCCCCGGTGCGCCGTTCCAGCCTGCGGCGCCACTCAGCTTGGTCGCTCGGCTTGCACTCCACGACGACGACCCACGCGCCGGCAGACTGAGCGATGCTGAGGAGGCTATCGAGGTGGGCGCGGCGCGAGAGGGGCGAGTCGACGACGACGGTGAGGCCAAGGCGGAGCTGAGTGGAGGCGATCTGCCAGATGGCGTTGTAGGAGAGGTCGTTGAGGAGGGAGGAGGGAGTGGGTGTGGGGAGGTGTTGGAGGGGTACGGTGGAATCGCGGATGTCGTCTTTGTCGATGAGAGGAACACGAAGGGAAGAAGCTATGGAATGAGCCAAAGTGCTTTTTCCTGTGCCTGGATGGCCTTTCATTGCTATAATCATCGGAGCTCCGTCAAATTTCTTCTGTGATTTCGCCATCGATCCCAACACAAGGTATTGGAATTTTGCAGTGACGAATTTGTCCTTGTCTGAAGCTTGAGAATTGTCTGGATGATATTCTCTGTACCTTCATCAAGAAGAGAAGAAACACCAAGTGAAACGCAGACAAGATCGAATACAACAAAAAGAACGCAAAAACCCAAGCAATAACGCGACGGATTTGGAGATATAGATATGGAGATGACGACGACAACGATAATATGATTTGAACAGAACATGCCATCTGGCATTTGCCATACGGGGTATCCATATGTATGCAATAAATGAGATATCGGCGCAAACAGTAAATTGCGCCACTGGTACATGCACTGCTGAACCTAAGAATATTTTTGTCCACCTCAATATAAAATATTTGATATATTTTAATATTATTTATATTTAAATTTATTAATTAAGAGGAGACTGAAATGTAAATTTAAAATCTCTTCATTTACATAAAAATAAAATTAAAAACTTATTTTATTTTTTAAATAATGTTATTAAGTTAACTTCATCTTTTTGTCATACTTATAAAGTAGTTTGACTTTAAAGATGTTTTATAATAAGAATAAGAAGAAATATTATACTCCATTCATCCAGTTCAAAATGTAGACATATTTTAGCAATAATCTTCATACTAATAAAATTATTTATTTTTATAAAAATATATTATTTTTTAATCTCTAGTTTCAATTTATAATGAATGAAAAAAAAAGTCATAAATTTAACAACATCTTAATAGATTAATAAATATAAGAGATAAAATGAAAGAAATTTTTTTACAAGGCTTATATATTTTAGATTAAAATAAATTAAAAAATATTTTTATTTCAATCAGGAGGTGAGGAGGAGGAGTATCCATTTCTTTATTCATTTTATCTCACCAATCAAACTATCGAAAACGCAATTATATATTCATATTGCATTACAGTTTACAGACCACCGAGCATGACTTTTTCGTACTAGAACGGAAACCTGTTTTAGTACAATGAGCTTTCACGTCGGAATTAGTTAAAAAAAGTGAACACAATGTATTTTTACAAGGGAGAATTTTAATTAAGGATCATACATAATTTTTTATAGCTCTTAAAGATTTTAAAACGTTAGTTCAGTTTTTTAAAATTAAATTAAAAATAAATTGAATGTGAAAAAAAAATACTCTCAATTTAAATATTAAAAAAACCACCAATCATCGTCGTCAGAGCATCACTATCGATGACCGAAACCTTGTTGGTGACAGCAACCACTCAACCTTTGTTGCCAGAGCCCCAATCGCCATCATTAGTTGAAGAACTATGGAGAATTAAATTCTTCAAAAGTGACCAAGGTGGGTATAAAACCCATGACTCCTTGGCTCACCAAAAAATTTTAGACCACCAAATCATTGAATCCATTCAATCATATAATGCATAAGATTATATATATAATAAGCATTGTTTTCAAACAACTTGATTATTATGTTACTTGTTAATACCTTAACATGATTTATTAATTACTTAACTTTCCTTATTAACCTTATGACTCTCATAACAGAACCATATTACTTGTTAATCGTATAACTATACTTGTTAATATCTTAACAAGATTTATCAATTACTTAACTTTCCTTATTAAATTTGTGACTCCCACAACAAAACTACATCATTTGTTAATTGTGTAACTGTACTCATTACTACCTTAACAGGACTTGTTTACTTGAATTTACTTGTCAAATTCATGACTCCCTCAACTAAATTGCATTATTTATTTATTATGTAACTTTACTTATTAATTATGCAACAATACTTGTGATCTCTTAGCTTGGTTCTACTTCTCGTTTTTAGTTTTCTCTAGGTTTAGAAATATTTTCTTAACAAGATGTTTTGCTTCCTGAATATAGAGATCATTGTAATATCTCCTTTACCTAATCATATTTAACACTTAAATCTAAGGTAATCTTTAAATGAACCCAATTGGATTACCAAATTTATTGTAGAAATGGGATCTCAAGTTTTTATAGATTTAATATAAATTAAAATTATTTATTAAACTTCTAATCATAGTACGATAATGTTTTGAAAGTATGAGATACCTCATAAGAGTGAAAAGATTCAAAATTAGTTAAAAAAATATCAAAGAGTCAAGAAACATGGCAATGCACTATAGCATGTGCACATACGCCGCAGTTGTCTTGCTCTACGCCTCATGCTACGGCATAGGCACCATGTACCATGGCATGTTGCACATTGTAAACAATAATTTTGCGCTTGCACTGTGGCATGTTGCACACTGCAGACAACAATTTCAAGCAACTTTCGATGTGTCCCATTTCTTTATTTGACATCTGAATGAGATGACCTAAGTGTTTATGGAAAGATCTTTTCATAAACTAACTAATGACATAGGTTTTACTTTCAAGCTGAGTCACACAAGGTAGTTAGACACCTAAACACATTTTCAACCATTTACACAATTTTCACCATTCAAGGGTGTCCAATACCTCACACATGTGCCAAAAGCCATTTCTAATACAAAGATCATACTCAATAAATTTAGAACTACCTATAAAACAAACCATATGTACAAATACACCATAATATCAAACTTTCACTTCTCAAACCCTTTAACAACTAAACAAAAAGGGGGAGGTCTTTGTATTACATTTAACCACAAATAATTAAAGTTATGATTGAATTTATATTTCTACACTTGCATTAGTATTTTGACTTTAACAACATTTACAAATCTCATAAACAGCATTCTAGGGACCAAAATACATTTCAAAGACCATAAATAACAATAGTGAAAGTGTATGTCATATGTGTCCTAATTGATAATATTCAAACTATTACACAAAATAAAATGAGGTCAAGTGAGCCTTAGGAGTCATTCCCTTTTCTGCACCAAAAATAGAGCTTGCAAAATATTGAAATAAAGGATTGAGTCTAACTATTCAATAATAAAGATACACCTACCATATATAGTTATATATTAATTGATTTATAAACATAAAAATGAGTTGATTACTCAAAGATATCAAATCACATATGACATAAGTTATAATTTTACAATTTAATTCATCTTCATATTTCTTGTAATGACCTTAAATTTCAAATTGGATAAAATTTATCTCCCAAGGAATATTTTATTCAAATAAGTTTTGTTTAGAAAGTTTGATTTTATTTTATTTTAAATTATAGAAAAATTTTGTGCTCTTTATGATAATTTTTTGTGCCCTTTCTTGCAAATTTTCTCTTGCTTTTTCTTGTAATTTTTTCAAATATTCTTTGATTAGATTTTATAACTTGCGTGAAAGGAAGAAACAGAGCATTCTCGTCTCTTCTCTTCGCCAACCTTGGATTTCTTTTTTCTCATCATTATCAACCCCTTCCTCCTTACCTCTGACTTGTTATTCTCCTCATCGTTGGCATGCCTCTTGTTTCACTGGTTCATCTCTTCTGTTCATCCGTTTTCTATCCCGTGCTGAGCTGAAATTCTACCCTGTTCTTCGTTGTTCCGTGGCTAAAACGGGTGCATTTTTGCGTGCATATATATTCAAGCTTTCTTTTCTTTCCCTTCAACCGTTGGAAGTCTATGTGTGTATGGTAATTTGAGTTGTGCGTTGCTGGTTAAAAATTCTCTGTCTTCTTCTTTCTCGTGCATACACAGGAGACCGAAGTTCTCCTCTTTCCATTCTTCAATTCCGGTCATGTGCTGATCTTAAACTATCATCGCTGCACTCTAGTTTGACGTAAATCATTGATCATCTCTTCTCCCTTTTCGATGATAGCAGCAACATTGAATTATTCCTTCTTTTCTCTAGCTGTTGGGTGTAGCCTCTGTTTTTCACTGTTGTAATATTTTTAGTTAGGTTTAAGAAGAATTTTCGGTTGATGCTGGAAAATGGTTTTAAGTGATATTGAGCTGATATATAATTATAGAATTTAATATTGAAAGTTGTGGAACTTATTTGGATATGTTTAAAAGAAGACATTGATGGAAAGAAAGTTGTTGAATTGCATGTGTGTTTGTCTCATAAATTTGTCAATAATAAATACATGCTCTTAGAGTATTTGTAAATATGTGTGAGGGGAGAATTAGGTGAATTGTGGGTTGTTAAAGCTTCCAAATAAATTATAGAAAAGTGATTATAAAATTCTTTATTTAAATGTTACTAATAATCCTTTATAAATTATACGAGTATCATTGTTAATCATATTTTTGTTCTAATAATTGTCTTATTAATAAAAATGTCTTGATTTTATGGATGATTTAAATTGTTGAAAAGTAATGGGTGAAACATATATATGATTTGTGATGTACATTTTTTTAGTAGTTTAGTTACTAAATTTTATGTTGATTAAAAAAATTTAATGTAATGATTCATGTGTGGAGTAAATAATAATAAATTTGAATAATAGAAAATGATGATTGAATGGTGTTTGATAGAGAAAATCTTGAAAAAATTTGCTCACTCCATACATGCTTGGTTTTATTGAGGAGATTGAGTTTAGAATGCTGGATGCTAACGGTAGTCTCGTTTGGAGCCGGGAAAATAGATTAAGCCCACGGGCTAGCCTGTTCAACCCACAAATTTTAATAGGTTGGGTTAAAAGAATTATCCATTTTTTAAAATGAGCTGAGCTAGCCCAACCTGCAAAACTAATGGGTTAAAACGGGCTGGCCTATAGATTAGCCTATTTTTTTAAAAAAATAATTTATTTTTTCAATCATAATATATCTTTTTTATAAATCTACAACAATGATTATATTTCTCAAATTTATAATTTATGAGTCCCAATCATGTTCTTTACATTTAAAAGATAATGTAAATCTTTCTTACAATTTGCAAATGAAATTTTTATTATAGTTTGTAAATCAATTATTTATTAGTTTTTATAGAAATATTTTGAATGTATATTATTTGTTAATATCATAAGATCTATTGATTGAAATTAATATAAATTTGTTGATAAAAATAATTTAGATTTATATTCAAATTTTTTTAAAAAATAATATGAAAAAAAATTATTATCTATATATATGATATGTTGATTATAATTTTTAAATAATTTTAAAAATAAAATTGCATTTTGTGAGTTGGCTCGTGGGCTCGCTAGCTCATCAATGTACTGGTCGGGTTGGGTTTTTCTAGCCCGTTTATCTTGGCGGGCTGGGCCCCAACCCACTAATGTGCAAACCTGTGTGGGCTAGCTCGCGAGTTGGCTCGCAACCCGTTTGCACAACTCTAGTCCCGTTAGCCTTCGATATGCT